CAAATTCCTCTCTATTCACTTAGAGAGCAAGCTAACCATGATTTATTTGCCAATCAACTCTTTATTGGCACATAATGGTTCGATTTAAATGATCTCGATAGCTACCGTGTAATCACCAATGATTTTCTCATCCAAATATGGATTTAATTTATGCCACCATAATTGGCAAAAATTTATCAAATCAGAGTAATGGATATTAGTTGAGGCGTCCCCCAACATCGTCTTTAAGACGAATCCTTTCATCGAATGAGATAAGTAATAGGATGATAATACGATGCTACTAGCGCTAGTAGACTTTAACTAAACGGTGTTCACCCCACTTATAAGGGTGTTAATCATTCGAACCAACATATATATCTCCCTCTCTTATATGTATAAAGTATAATTGGTTAGCTGTGTACCATAATCATTTTTCACCCAATTAGGGATTCACGATGCAATCATAATGTGAAATTTGTCCTTCAAGGATATTCATTTTCATGGCAAAATCTAATGTAAAATGTGTCCTTCCTGGACATTTTCTCTTGCACTCATTTGCAACATATGTAATACTTTCACGTTGCCATTTTATCGATAAATGCATCTAGCATTTTACATCTTAAAATTGTTGCAATTGAATTCTTTTTTCTTTTGTGCTTAAATATTTCCATGCACAAATCTAGATGAGACAAAGATCATTTCATATAATTCACGCCGTTATACAAGAACCGGCTTCTTATCTCCCCCTTAACGGCGGGAAAATTGTCTCATTAAAATGGCAAATGACAATGTATGCCATAGAAATATCTCCCATAAGGGGTGCAAAATATTGCATATCATAAATTATAAATAAACCATGTGATATAGCTGTTATCTAGATGAGAGTAACTACGTTTGAGAATCTAATAGGTTCGGTACACAAATGACCAAATTTCAAAATATTGAAAATTCAGGGACCAAACTGTAAATTTTGAAAATTTAGGGACCAAATTGTAAATTTTGAAAACTTCAGGGACAAGACTGCAATTTTAAAAACTTGGGTGAAAACTGAAAATGCTGAAATGTATTCATAATTGCAGATGATGAGAGGAACGTGCTGCATATTCTAAAAAATATTTGGACTGGATCGTAATATTTTCAAATTCGGAGGACAAAAATGAAAATTTTGAAAATTTTGAGGAGTAAACTGTAAATTTTGAAAAATCAGAATATGCAGAGGGTTTGGAATTTTAACAAGAAAATCAGATCCTCTTTTCTTTCGTTTGGTTTGAAATTTCATCTAGACCAATTATAAAAAAATCATATACATACCTCCATAGATATGTATTTGGAATGAAATTTACAACTTTAATTTTATTGGTCAATATCGTGACTCAAAAATCACGCAATTTCTTTTGTTTTTCTATTGGTGCTTGATAAAGCTTATCAACATGTTTTATCGTAAAATATATATATGACCAATCATTTTTCATATTTCTCATCTCTCTTTCACTT